TATTTTTAGATATTTCAACAACTATTGGCTATAATAAAATACTATAAGAAATCTACTAATAAAATAAATATTAACCTTTTAAATAGGCAATTAAAACTAATAAAATAATCTATAAACTATACAAAAATATTAGGAAAAATATCCCCAAAATAAAACATGACTGGGAGATAACAGTGCCAAATAGCTTTTCATTACAACAATATGCTAAGTAATCACTATGATCTTTGAGACATTGTTGCACATAACACACTCCTTATGATTTTACTGCACCTCATGATTTCACTGCACTATATTGTACATACATATAGTTTTGAAACAAGTTCTTAATTTATCATATTTATTTTTGCACATATTTGGTTTTTGAAACAAAGTCTTAATTTATAATATTTATTTTCTCACATATTTAGTGTTTTCGAAACTATGTATAAAAGTTATTTAATCTACCATTTCTTCATCTACCTTCCTGTAAATGAAGATAAAAGAAGAAATATAAACAACATCATATGAAAATGCAGATAAATACAATTACAAATGTAATAATAAACTGTAATAAAACCATGATTTTTGAACACAAAAATTAGTAACCTGATATAAATTTTTGCATTGTTTTATTAAATATTTGGCAATTTTTATATTTTTTCTTTGGATTCCTTACTGATCTGATGAAATGATAATCACTGATTATCAAAGACCAAAGTAAAAGAACTTGTTGATCATTTCTATATTCTTTTTTAAGTCACTTGATTACACTTCATATAATAATTTATATTAATGTATCACATGTTATATTTTTATAAAAATCATCAAATAATCACTTTAATTTTTTAAAGCAAAATTTAAAATCCTCAAAGTGATAACATGTTATTAAATCATTATAAGCAATAAGTGTATGTAAATTTGAATTGTTTTAAACTTATAAATTACCAATTTTAAACTCACTTAAGTTAAATAAGAATTAGACTTAAATAATTAAGAGTATTGATCAATTAACTGTTATTCTTATATACTAAAATTAAAACGAACAAATAAGAAGTATTGTGTAATATCAGAATTGACAATTACAATATCTGTTAAACTGTAATATCTAAACCTAAACATGTCAAATATTTATAATACAATGTATTCATATATGTTATATATGCTACTATATATAGTTATTTTAATATTCAGCATGTTAACAACTCGTATAAAATCTATAGCATGTAAAGTGTGAATATGTAATAATATTTAAATAAGATTTATAGATTAATTTTCGATAAAAAATTAGATGTAAACAATGGTGTAAATTATAGATTAGCTATAGATGAATTGTTAATGTTAGTATCAAAATAATCATTTAGTAAAATTGATCTTGTAAATTACTTATCACATCAAGAAAAATTCGTATGTAACAAAAGGATTGTATAAAAGACTCGCTTTTTTTCCTTTAATTTTTTGTAAAAAATTAATCTTAATAAATAATACTAAAGCAATCTGCAACTCAAAATCAAAAAATAAATTCACTGTAAACGTTTATTTCCCTTTTTCTGATTATTATATTATTCCATTATGAATATAAATCAGAATATTACTACACAGTCATTAAGAAGAAGATGTGAAAAAACTCAAAATCAACATGATCTCAGCCATATGAATATAGAATGTATTTATTGTAATGCACTTCATTGGCAAGATGAACATTTGATGCATTTTTTAATAAAAAACTCTAAATTTGGTTTATATTGCCAGCAAGGAAAAATTAAACTTTCTCTTCTTAATAATCCTCTGCTCCTTCTTCGACATTTTTTTGAAAGCAGTGATAAAGATGCTAAAGAATTTTGTGCAAACATTCGTCAATACAATGCTGCACATGCATTTACATCATTGGGTATTACAATTGATTAAACTGTACTCCAGAGCATGGTCCATATTGCTTTCGTGTTAACAGAGAACTATGTCACTTATCTAGCCCACTCATCCCTACTGATAATAATGAACCTGCTTATGCACAACTTTATATCTATGATGCTGCACTTGCATATCTAATACGAATAAACCATAATGCCAATTTATTAACACAAACAATGTAGAAAATACAGAATATCTTATGTACTTATTATGAATTTTATCTACTATATCAGCAGGCTCATAAAATTCTTTCTTAAGCTCATGCAAATAACACCTCTACTACAAACTTAACTATTTATCTACATTACAATAATGCAATAGATAGACACTGCTATAATCTTCCAACAATGGATGAAATAGCTATTATTTTGTCCAGTGATGGATCTATATCAGAAGCAATGTGTGATATAGTTATTCATTTGTATAATAACAAGCTTAAACATATTCAGAAGAGTTACCCAGCCTACTTATCATTATATTATGTGCTTCTTTTTCTATATGGTGAACTCGGATGGCATGAAGGATTATGCCAATCATTAGGAAATATTGAAAACAATCGAATCAATAATCAAACTAGAATTCCACGTTTGACACAAAAGGATTTTTTTTCTTTTCATCTTTTTGCATATCATAATAAATTTTTGACAATCCTTCGAGGAGGTAAATTATTTCAAGAATTTATAATTGACGCATGGGCTACTACAGAACAAAATAGATTAAGATTTTTATACCAAAACCAAGATATACTATGTGCTGATCTTTATCAAGGTTTAGCTGATGTTGCAAGAAGTATTGCAAACAGTAAACTATTACTTAATAATCTTAATCATCAGGTAATTCTTCCTTTTACATACATTAGTAGCTTATATTATATGTTTGAAATTTATCAAGACTCAATGCCTATTATCTGATTCTATAATCATCCTAATATATTTAGAACTATGACTGCTAATCCTAAATAGTCTGAAATTATTAATGAATTTTTACCTGATTAAACATTATTAGATCATCCAGACCTAGTGGCATGTGCATTTGAACTGAAACAACAATTTCTTCTTCATGATATTAAAAAAAATGCTTTTCTTGACAAAGCTGTTGCTCATGTCTATACAATTGAATTCCAAAAACATGGTCTTTCTCATATGCATTTTCTAATCTTTCTTGATAAAGATTCTAAAATATAAGAACCTGCTGATGTAGATAACATTGTAAGTGCAGAATTCTCTGATAAAAAAATGGACTTACTACTATTTGACACTGTATTGCATTGTATGATCCATGGTCCTTGTGGTTTTCGTAACCCTCATGCATCATGCATGCAAATAGAAAATGCAAAAAAAATTATCCTAAACCATTTTGTAATATAACTTCAATAAATACAGATGTGTATCCAATTTACATGAGAAGAGACAGTGAACAAATGTCCAATATTGGTAATAAAAATGTTAACAATTGAGATATAGTACCATATAATCTAGCTTTCAGTTGCAAATATAATTGTCATATTAATATCGAAATCTGTGCATCTATATGTGCTATCAAATATATTCATAAGTATATTTATAAGGGTCATGACTGAACTACAATCCAATTTGGTCGAGACAATGATGAAATCACACAGTATATTGATGCATGATATATTAGTTCATCAGAAGCTGTATGGAGACTTTTAAGTTTCAATATGCATAAAAAAATACCCAATGTTGTATGATTAGCACTACATCTACTAGGAATGCACAATGTTGTCTTTGATCCAAATAACAATGCTGCCAAAATTTTAGCTCATGCTGATCGACAAAAAACTACACTAACAGCTTTCTTTGAAACATGCGAAACTCTTGAAATAGCCTATCAATACATCTATCAAGAATTTCTACAACATTTTGTTTGAAATAAATCTAACAAAAAGTAGACAATATGAAAACAAGAATTTGCAATTGGTTGACTTTATTTTGCTGACCCATCTGCTAGAGAAAGATTTTATTTATAGCTTTTGCTTACTGTAGTTTGTGGTCCACAATCTTTTGATCACTTAAAAATGATCAATAGTATTACTTATCCTACATTTAAAGATGCATGTATTATCTTAGATTTACTAGAAAATGATAATGAATGGAATCGATGCCTAGAAGAAGCAGCAATCATACGTAGTGGTGCTCAATTAAGATCACTTTTTGCAACTATACTTGTATACTCTACCCCAACCAATCCTCAAAATCTATGGCTACTCTTTTATAATAACCTTTGCAATGATTTTCACTATCAACTACATAATAAGTATAATATTCAAAATTCTACTGAACTCCAAATATTTGATCTCAGGCTCTTTCTTCTTGATCAAATTCTGTATAATTTCAACTATTCTCTTAACATATTTCCTTTAATGCCTTGTTGGGAACATAATTGGGATCACTACCAAGAAAATTATCTTATCTATAAACACTTAAATTGGAACCATAATGAACTTAAAAAGATATCAACCAGTCAGGAACTTCAACTAAATACTGAACAACATGCTGCATATCAAGATATTCTCAATTCAGTAACTAAATATAATGGCAATTTGTTTTTTTTAAATGGACCTGCTAAAACTGGAAAAACTTTTTTATACAATAGTATTGCAATGAAAATTTGAAGTATATATAAAATTGTAATTTGTGTCACTTCTTCTGAAATTGCTTCTCTTCTGCTTAGTAGTTGTCAAACAGCTCACTCAATGTTTAAAACTACTCTTAACATAACTAATGAATCTTTATACTCAATTAATAAAAATTCTAATCTCGCTAATTTATTATGAAAAATGACACTTATCATTTGGGATGAAATTCCAATGCAGTATCATAACTGTGCTAAATCAGTTGATTGCACTTTACGAGATATCCATGATGATCCACATCCATTTGGAGGAATTACTATATTGTTTGACAGAGACTTCCATCAAATACTACCCGTTATAACCAAAGATTCTTGTAAGCAAATCGTATCAGCATCTTTTCAAAGATCACAATTATGATAGCATATAAAAATACACATTTTAAAAAAAAACATGTATCTCAAATCTGAATCTGAAGAAAATCACCAATTTGCGTGATGGCTATTACAGGTAAAAAATCAACTTTTCAAACCTAATTTTTCTATTACAATTTTTATTAAGCTTATTTCTACTAAACACATCATATGCAGGTTGACAATGATACAAATATGTTTAAATCAGATAATATCATTGAAATTCCTCAAAATATGACAATTGAATCTGAATTAAACTCGCTTATCAAATCAGTCTATTGTAATATCTCTATTGAAAATATATGCACTGACCAATATCTAAAAGACCGAATAATACTCTCTTCCTGTAATACCAATATCGACGATATCAACATTACTATTCTTAACTCTTTTCCTGAAAACCAAAAAATGTACTTGAGCTCAGACAAAATAGTTTCTAAAAACAATAACAACTTTAACAATTTCTATTCTAGTGAATTTCTAAACTCTCTTAAACCTGCTGAAATGCCACCTTTATTGCTCACACTTAAAATTGGATACTCTATAATATTTTTGTGAAATCTAGCATCTCACCAAGGTCTCTGCAACAGTTCTAGATTAATTGTAACAAGACTTAATGATTATGTAATTGAGGCCCGTATCTTGACTGGAGACCATGCTGGCAATCTAACTTTTATTCCTTATATATCTCTTACAACTTCAACTTTTGAACTTCTGTTTAAACTTAAGCAATATCAATTTCCTATTAATGTAGCTTTCGCAATAACTATAAATAAATCACAAGATCAATTTGTAAAACATGTTGGGTTAGATCTCAGAACTCTGTCTTCTTTCATGATCAACTTTATGTAGTTTTATTCTGTTGCACTTGTCTACATTTTGTAAAAATTCTTCTTTCTCCAAATAATAATAATCATACTACACTAAATATTGTATACTTTGAAGTATTATTAAATAATTAATAACTAAAGAATTACAAATCTTACTAAAATTTAAATAATATATGTTATAAAATAAAAACTTGCAACTAATCGTAACCAATCTTTATATATATTATAAAAAACTCAACTTCTTCTTATTCGATATCTTAACTTTAATAAATTCAAAAAGAATTTTTGTTAATAACTTGACAAAACTCCAAAAGTAGTAAGTAAAAAATAATCATTACCCTAGATAGAATATCTCACGTAAAACTAATGTATTACATAAACACAATACACATTATGATTATAAGCATCGAATTTACTCTACTCGGTAATGATGTACAATCTGCATAATACAGCTTTTAAAAATTGTAACTAAATCGAATAAATTAGAAAAATTAGTTTTCAAGATCAAAAATGAAATACGTATTAAAAAAACATTTACAGTCAAACCCTTCTATAGTTACACTTTTTAACTAATACAGATATAATTATAGATAATTAATAAAAACAAATTTGTAATTGAGTGCATAAAAGTAAAAATCTGAAAACCAATTTAATGATTTACTATGATTGTTTCCAGGTTTTTACTCTTACGCACTCGATTATATTAATTTTGTAACTAAGAAAGGTTTAAGTATAAATAAAAAAAATTAGATAAATTATATAAATTTCTTCTATATATAATTAAGTAAACGATTTTACTTTCAAATGAAAAATAACTCTTGAAATTATAACTTTGAAAAGCCTAAAATAAGTAAAAGTACCAAGTAGTAATAATTTCCTTTTGTAACTTTGTAATAACATTTTATTCACAAATCATATTTTCTTGCCTCCATGATTTTCATTAACCCATTATTATTACAGTATTAGTCACTACATAAGAAATATCATATTAAAATCAAATTCTTTATATAGTAAGTCATTAAATTCATAATCAATGTTATTATACATAAACTTCCTAATTCATAACCTATAATACCATATCAATATTCTTGTATGTACCATATTCTATTTAGCCAAATTTTAATCACAAAACTCAACCACAGTACCTACAAAAAGAAGAAGATACAATATTAGCAAAAGTTTTAAAAAAAAAACATATAATAAAAGATTAACAAAACACTTATCTGAATCCAGCACTATTATTAAAAACCAAGTTAACCCTAATATAGACTTATTTTATATTTTTTCAAGCTACATAAATTTTTGTGCTCTATATATTTGTCACATAATATGTATTCAAAACTTTTTGAGTAACAATTTTATCCCACTCTTTAAAATCACATGAACTTATCAATATTACTAATTTTTACCAAACACATGCAAACATGTGCAATATCAATATACAGTATATCTCAAAACAAGGTTCCAAACTTGCAGATTTAAGTACCTATAAACAAACCAAGAAACTTGAAACTTTATTTAAATTACATTAAAAAAAAAAGCTTTTCAATTCTATCATTAAACTTCCAAATATCAAATATTAAAAAACACTAACATTTAAATAATTGCAAATAATTCTAATTAATAAAAACTTTTTAGAAAAATTTACATTTAAATCCTTTTAAAAAAAAAAATATATGCTCAATTATACTTTATTCATATACAGTCATGATCATCAAAACAATAAACCTACTATGTACTAATATTCTTTATAACAAGTTCAATTCTAGCATATTTTTAACATCTTTTATACTTGGTATCTAGATATGACAAAAATAAATTAATAAAAAGTAGCATTTTATAATATGAATAAAAATACACTATTTAACAAATGCAATCAATACTTCTATTTTTGATTTAACATGTTTATATACTCTTATAATAATTACAATAATCAACACAATAATCCAAAACCAAATACACAAAATGACATATACTAAAATATACAATTATCTAAATTTAATCTCTGATATAATTACACTATTGTTACAACTCAAAAATTTCAAATCTTAACAAAAATACCATGCTTTGCTATGCAGATCAATCATCAAAGTCAAATATGTTAAATGAAATGAAAAAGAAGATGCAAAAGTATTTACAATATGGGCTATTGGAATATACCCAACAGGACATGAAAACAATGAAATTGAAATAACTTTGTTTTTATCTGTCAATTCTAACAATCGAGATCCTAAATCACAAGCAATCTTCAAAAAAGATGAATATTATTCCATTGGAAAAAAAATTATACCTGGATCCTATGCAGGACAAATTAGACCAAAAGTATCTAAACACTATAAAAAAAAATTCAATGTTGACCTATTACCTATTGACTAATTATAAAACATATTTAATGACCTATTATTATCTATATTATATTCTAGTCATGCAGAATATAAATCAGTTATATCCTGAATACTGTGTATAAATGAAAACTTCATTTCTGCTTACACTCAGCTGTCCGAGATATAACTATTACTCATCCCAAATGGTCAACACTACAAAATTTACAATTAAAGATGTAAGTACAATGCCATAATTCATTACAATTATAATAAATTATGACAAAAAAAAATGCTGTAATTCTCATAATTATGACAAATTATGGCATTGTACTCAACTCTATTTACAACACAAAATTAGATCTAATAATAATCTAAACCTAGATAACAATTTCTACATCAACTCACCTAACAATTTCTGACAAAGAAATCCCAAGCTTAAACAAATGTCCCTTAAAAACCACTTTAATAGGAATTCCACAAGAAATCCCAGCTGAAATTGAAAATACTGAAAACTCTATTATTGAAATACTTGTATCTGATTATATTGGCCAACCTTACAATTATACAATCAAAGTAACCTTTCCATATAATACCCACAATTCAAACATTTAAAAACTACTATCCATCTACAAGAATCAACAATTTTCATAATTGAACAAATGGAAATCATAGATAACTAATTTTACATTTATGGCAATGACATCAATTATATTAACACTAATTTTGTTACTAAAAAAAAGGAACCCAATGCCAACAATACTGAACTATCTTCAAGTCCAACATGATCTAAACTTTTAAATGTCCATCAAAACATAGCTAAAATCTCAAAAACAATATCTCAAAACCACTCTTCAGCACCAATCTTAAACAATCCTGAAGACATAACTCAAAATAATCTATACAAAAATGATACATACTCTGAAAATAATACAACTCAAAATAATCTACTCGAAAATCATACAGATTCTGAAAATAATCCAACTCAAAATAATCTAATTGAAAATAATGCAAATTCTAAAAATAACATATATTCTGAAATAACACTCATTCTGAAAATAATATTTATTCTGAAAATAACACTCATTCATTAAAATATAAAAGACCTAATAAATAATCAAACAACAAATACTAAACTCACTAACAACAATTAAAATTAAAAAATTCAATATCAACATTAAAAAATAATATATACTTATCATTATTCTATCTCAAATTTATTTTCTTTTATTATAACTTATCAAACTAAATATATTAGTTAACCCTTATATTTTTTTAAAAAACATATATATA